AAAATATCGCTTATTTTCACAGAAATCCCTGTTTTTCCCCTAAAATATCGCTTATTTTCACAGAAATCCCTGTTTTTCCCCTAAATATCGCTTATTTTCACAGAAATTCCTGTTTTTAACCTAAAATATCGCTTATTTTCACAGAAATCCCTGTTTTTCCCCTAAAATATCGCTGATTTTCACAGAAATCCCTGTTTTTCCCCTAAAATATCGCTTATTTTCACAGAAATCCCTGTTTTTCCTCTAAAATATCGCTTATTTTCACAGAAATCCCTGTTTTTCCCCTAAAATGTGGCTTATTTTCACAGAAATCCCTGTTTTTCCCCTAAAATATCGCTTATTTTCACAGAAATCCCTGTTTTTCCCCTAAAATATCACTTATTTTCCTTGAAATCCCTGTTTTTCCCCTAAAATGTCGCTTATTTTCACAGAAATCCCTGTTTTTCCCCTGAAATATCGCTTATTTTCACAGAAATCCCTGTTTTTCCCCTAAAATATCGCTTATTTTCACAGAAATCCCTGTTTTTCCCATAAAATATCACTTATTTTCATAGAAATCCCTGTTTTTCCCCTAAAATATCGCTTATTTTCAAAGAAATCCCTGTTTTTCCAATAAAATATCGCTTATTTTCATAGAAATCCCTGTTTTTCCCCTTCAATATCGCTTATTTTCACAGAAATCCCTGTTTTTCCAATAAAATATCGCTCATTTTCATAGAAATCCCTGTTTTTCCCCTAAAATATCGCTTATTTTCACAGAAATCCCTGTTTTTCCAATAAAATAGCGCTTATTTTCATAGAAATCCCTGTTTTTCCCCTAAATTATCGCTTATTTTCAAAGAAATCCCTGTTTTTCCCCTAAAATATCGCTTATTTTCATAGAAATCCCTGTTTTTAACCGAAAATATTGCTTATTTTCACAGAAATCCCTGTTTTTCCCCTAAAATATCGCTTATTTTCATAGAAATCCCTGTTTTTCCCCTAAAATATCGCTTATTTTCACAGAAATCCCTGTTTTTCCCCTTAAATATCACTTATTTTCATAGAAATCCCTGTTTTTCCCCTAAAATATCGCTTATTTTCACAGAAATCCCTGTTTTTCCCATTAAATATCGCTTATTTTCACAGAAATCCCTGTTTTTCCCCTAAAATGTCGCTTGTTTTCACAGAAATCCCTGTTTTTCCCCTAAAATATCACTTATTTTCACAGAAATCCCTGTTTTTCCCCTAAAATGTGGCTTATTTTCATGGAAATCCCTGTTTTTCCCCTTAAATATCGCTTATTTTCACAGAAATCCCTGTTTTTCCCCTAAAATATCGCTTATTTTCACAGAAATCCCTGTTTTTCCCCTAAAATATCGCTTATTTTCATAGAAATCCCTGTTTTTAATCTAAAATATCGCTTATTTTCACAGTAATCCCTGTTTTTAACCGAAAATATCGCTTATTTTCACAGAAATCCCTGTTTTTCCCCTAAAATATCGCTTATTTTCACAGAAATCCCTGTTTTTCCCCTAAAATGTGGCTGATTTTCATAGAAATCCCTGTTTTTCCCCTTAAATATCGCTTATTTTCATAGAAATCCCTGTTTTTCCCCTAAAATGTGGCTGATTTTCATAGAAATCCCTGTTTTTCCCCTTAAATATCGCTTATTTTCATAGAAATCCCTGTTTTTCCCATTAAATATCGATCATTTTCATAGAAATCCCTGTTTTTCCCCTTAAATATCGCTTATTTTCACAGAAATGCCTGTTTTTCCCCTAAAATATCGCTTATTTTCACAGAAATCCCTGTTTTTCCCCTAAAATATCGCTTATTTTCACAGAAATCCCTGTTTTCCCCCTAAAATATCGCTTATTTTCACAGAAATCCCTGTTTTTCCCCTAAAATATCGCTTATTTTCATAGAAATCCCTGTTTTTAACCTTAAATATCGCTGATTTTCTCAGAAATCCCTGTTTTTCCCCTAAAATATCGCTGATTTTCACAGAAATCCCTGTTTTTCCCCTAAAATGTCGCTTATTTTCACAGAAATCCCTGTTTTTCCACTAAAATGTGGCTTATTTGCACAGAAATCCCTGTTTTTCCCCTAAAATATCGCTTATTTTCAGAGAAATCCATGTTTTTCCCCTAAAATATCACTTATTTTCACAGAAATCCCTGTTTTTCCCCTAAAATATCGCTTATTTTCACAGAAATCCCTGTTATTCCCCTTCAATATCGCTTATTTTCACAGAAATCCCTGTTTTTCTCCTAAAATATCGCTTACTTTCCTAGAAATCCCTGTTTTTCCACTAAAATATCGCTTATTTTCACAGAAATCCCTGTTTTTCCCCTGAAATATCGCTTATTTTCACAGAAATCCCTGTTTTTAACCTGAAATATCGCTTATTTTCACAGAAATCCCTGTTTTTCCCCTAAAATATCGCTTATTTTCACAGAAATCCCTGTTTTTCCCCTAAATATCGCTTATTTTCACAGAAATTCCTGTTTTTAACCTAAAATATCGCTTATTTTCACAGAAATCCCTGTTTTTCCCCTAAAATATCGCTTATTTTCACAGAAATCCCTGTTTTTCCCCTAAAATATCGCTTATTTTCACAGAAATCCCTGTTTTTCCTCTAAAATATCGCTTATTTTCACAGAAATCCCTGTTTTTCCCCTAAAATATCGCTTATTTTCAC